ACACACACACACACACAATGTCTATTCAGCCTGTCTCCATCAGCTCTTACAGCCACACACACTTTTCTCATGCTTACATACAAACTACAGTAGCTACTTTCATTCACAGTGCTCACACAATGACTGAAGGAAGTTTTGTGACCTTTATCAAGTTGTACTCACTCACTGTAGCGGAGTCGGAAGGGAAAAAAATATCATTAATGCAGCTGCCTACAAACATGTTACAGCTCAGTTTTAAGAAATGTTATCAAATACGATGTTTATTGAAAAGGCCAGTAGGTCTTTACAGGTTGAGACCCACTGGATGCTGTTTATGGCCCTATTTGGTGGCTATTTAAGTCAAATGCCCCCACAAAACACTGTGGGACAGCAGGTGACCTGGGACTGGCTAGTGGTGGAAACACTGGGATTAGTCAAAAGCTTAAACAGTTTAAATTTCTGCAAGAATATTCTGTACTAGCTGTGGAGGAGATGGTTATTATGAGAGTAGTTTTAAATGATGCTTGTCTTCACGATTACAGATAAATTATTGGAGAAAGTTTATATATAGCTTAATTACATAATGTATATTAATGTGCAAGCTGCCTGCCATCTTGCGAGTGTTGATGCAAGAGGTGGAAATTATTCTCATTTGACTGATTTGAATAGTTTTTATTTAGGTCAGTTTAAAGATTCATAGTTACTATGTTGTTGCTAAGCTAAGTGGTTGTATCACTTTTCAACTGCAGTCCAGTAGGTTCAACAGTAAGCGAATGCGTCACTGTTCAGATGGCTGAGACGTTTGGTGCTGGTTTCACTAGTTCACTAGTAAGTTCAGTATGTTGCTGGTTCAGTACAAAACTAGTCCCATAGCAGCCTTTATTTATAATTTAAGACTGAGTTGTATCATTGTTTTTCTTTCTGTGATGTTTGCAGTCTTTTAATGAATAAGTAACATACTGTGTTTCACACCTGAGCTGACAGCATTGCTCTCAGTCACCAGTGTGAGGAGCTCCACTGCTCAATGCTACGGAGTGACAATGAGTCAGTTCAAGATTTGTTGTTGTCTTGCAACAAGTGAGAAGCGGTGGAGGGGATGTTGTCTCACCAGTGTGTCTCCACCAGGCAAAGATTGAAAGCTATTACAAAATATCAACATAATGTTTGAACTTCACCAGCTTTCCGTTTTATTTATATAGCTCAATATCACAAATTTGCCTCAAGGAGCTTTACAGTCTGTACAGTATACAACACCCTCTATCTTTAGACTCTTTATTTGGATTTAAAAAAAATCTTTAACAGAGAGCAAAATGGAAGAAATCTCAGAAAGAGCAACAGAGGAGGGATCCCTCTCCCAGGACTGAGATACAATAAATGTTGTATGTACAGAATAGACCAAAATAGCTAAATTAGAATATGGAAAATCAGGATGACAATATTATAGATAGATTGTAAACTACATTTTTGAGAGAATTTTTGTCTTAAAGACAAAAGCTGCTTCTAGCTGCTTTAGGGAGGGGCGAGTAGATAAATAAGGTCAAGATATTTATAACACCTGCACTATATGAATGAGGTCAAATATAAGATTAAAAGATGAATTGGATGTGGTCTTGGCATGATACTCTGACCACTGGAAATAAGATATACACAAAAGTGTTGTGAGAAATAGAAAAATAAACCACGGACTGAAGTTTACAAATCTTTTCCAATCTGCTCTAAAAATCCTTTTGTGCCTCCTCTTAGCTCTTACTTCATTCCATCTGTCACATCTCCTTTTACATGTGTGTTTTCAACTGGAGGAGGTCACCGTGTCCCAAACCACCGACTTCCTTCCTGCTGTTCAGTGACTTAGCTTGCACTCAGCTAATCGCCTGAAATACAAATGCAAAGAGAGGAGTGGGAGGAAAAGACAAGCGAGGAGAGAGTAACTATTAGTTGTGCTGATGAGAGAATTACTCTCATCTAGTCTCCATCCAAACCCCGACAGGAAGGCAGGAAGGTGTCTAGTTAGACCTTGAGTGCCACTTCCACACCCACGCCTTGTCCTCAACTCCCCCATAAACCCTCTTCTAAAGTCAAAATGCGTCGTCATGGTAACTGGTGGAGGGCTGCCGAGGAGAGAGGGGACTTGTTTTCCCTGGCGATGTGGCAGCCGAGCAGCAATGTGTGGGCTTGGTCACCCCACTAGAGACCCAAACTGCATATAATAGCATATAGCGTCCAAGGTTAGAGAGACTGCCAACACGAGAGAACAGGCCAAATTTGTGCTTTGTTCTTTTTGTGTTTCACTCTTTTTCTTTCAGAGTGAGAGGTTGGAGGCTGACACACTTACTGCAGGGGAAGAGAAATTAAAATGAGATACAAAGATAAATTAGGAGCCATTCATCACCAGCTGAAATGAATGCAGAGTGTGTTACAGCTGCAGGTTGAGGTGTGGATCCATTGAGTCCAAATTTATCTGTTCCTCCCATCCCTCAGGGAGTGTGGAGTTGATGTGTTTTTTTGTTTGTTTTTTTTTTAAAGTTTACTGAGTTCTCTTTCCCTCACTGCTTTAGTCAAAGATCCGTAAATATCAGCTGGGAGAGTAAGGATCGAGCAGCGTTGCTGAAGCATAACTTCTCTTTCATCTTTCCACCTGACAAATCAAAGCCGATCAAAACACTGACCGAGCACGTTGTCTCCAGCATTGAAGCAAACAGCTCATTTCCACACCTCAAACACAGATTCACTGCAAACTCAGTTTTGTACAAGACTATTAAGCTTTTATTCACAAAAAACCTGTGAAGGTAGGATTTTTCTTATCCTCTGGTGGCTCAAACAGTTGGTGTTATTTAATGTTTTATAAGTGTTTGATAAGTGAAGAAGATGATTAGTGCAGTTTTTGTTTCAGGGGGCAGAAACTGTAAAAAGACAACTTGAGAGGCATTGTAAATGAAGTAAAGTAACACCTTTGCTTTTAAGTATAATGACTTCTGTTTCTGCCATTTTTAACATTTTTGTCACTTTTATAATCCTTCATTCATAAAAGTTGTTTCAGGCTTTGCTTTGGGCTAAATGCTACAGTCACAGTAACATGCTCACAGTGACAGTGGCAACATGCTGATGGAAATGTATTTGATCATAAACCAAAGTATTGGGCAATTTAAGATTTTAACCCAAAGGCCTTTTGCCTTTTTGAGGCGAGGGGGTTGTAATCTCCAGCTGTACCACTGGATGCCACTAAATCCTTACCACTGGTCCTTTAAGGAAAAAAATGATTGTCATTCTTTTCAGTGTTTGAAGGCTTATTTGCCACTTGTTCCCCAGCATGGTAAAGTCATATTTGGTCCCTAAGAACACATTTTCTGTCCACCAGCTGGAACTAATCACTGTTAATGAGAACGCCCAAATAAAGCAAAAAAATAAGATTATTATTTATTAATTCAGGCATATTCAGATGATTATACACTTATGAAAACATACCAATGAATAATAAATTCTAATAGATCCTTCTCCACATTGCATATAGTTTGTATTATTTTAACACAATAAAGTATCCAAAAAATAAGTTATCTTTAGAGTGCCCTGAGTTTAATATTCTTTGTACATTATCAATCAGTAAATTGCATTATAACCTAATGTTATCAATAAAATCAGAACATTCAGGATAAATTAATGGGAAAATGTATTTCTCTGTTCATTTCCCTTCTGGTGACAATCAGATCCCCTGTCTATTCCAATAGACAGATGATTATTTTTTATGGTAGTTTGGCATGTATAAGTAATATAACATCTCATGATTACATTAAACACAGTTGAAACACACAATGTGTTCTTTAACAATGTAATTATTGGATTCAAATGTGCTCTCTGTAATGGCGCTCCCTCTCTCCACCCACTCTTGGTCTCTTAGGGAAATGAGAGTCTAATTCATCTGCCTTTTGGAAATTATGCAAAGACACTAACAGCCGATACGGTATACCATTAATGGATTGCTTTTGATTTCTTGAATATCTGTATCAGTTTCAAAAAACGTGTATTAGTTGATCACTATTGTACACACTGTACATCAGCAATCTCTTTGTCACTTTCAGGTCGTAACTTAACATTTTTGAGACTAAGTAGCACTAATTTATCAGTATAAAATACATGTTTCTCATACTATACAGTAGATTTTTGTATCAAGTGCTCACTCAGTCAGTTATTTAATGTCTTTGATGCCTGAAGCTGCTTCACTGACAGTGTATTAGAGCCTGACTTTGCACATTCATTTAAAGTTGAATCTTTTTTACACCCCAATTTGTTTTCATTTTAAAGTGGTGATTACAATTCTCTTGGAGGAAATATATCCATTATCTCCATCTCGTCATGCTGGCTATTGTTCTCTGTAGTCTGTGATGAATTGGCAACGTTAAAAAATATCTCTCCAACACGCTACAAATTAATCCTGACTCTTCTGAGATTGGTTCAGTTATACAAGCAGTTTATAATTATGTATTTATTAACAAATGCAAATATCTGTTCACCGGTCCCCTCAAAAGCAAAATGGCTCCATATTGCTTTTCTTGGTCGCTTCTGCCAGCTACTAAAATAGACAAGATTATACATGAACCATATCTGTTCTTTGGTTCAGGTGACATATAATTTTTTTGTTCACATCAGAGCCAAATGTTACTCAGCAGAGATCCTCATAGATTTGTGTCTTCGGGTTGGCATTTTGGCATTGCAGCCATGGTTATACAAATTCCCCCAAACTCTGCATAATTTTTAATTTTAACCACAAAAACAGTCCTTTAACATGTAGAAAAGGTGTTATAGTCGAAAAATAGAAATGTAACATCAACCGGTGCAAAAAATTTATCTCTCTGAAAAACTAAGATGACTATCCTTCTTTCACAAAATCTATTTGATAGGTTGCCAGGATGTTTTGTACAGACATTGTACCCAGAGGTCTTGTTTAGTCTTTGATGACAAGTGAGATTTACCATTTAATCTTTAATGTGATTACTGTAACAAGTTTTAACAATTCAATTATATGTATTTTGTTACTCTCTAAAACTCTGCATACATAAAGTGACCTGTAAAGACACAAAAGAGACAAACAATAGACCCACGACACATATTTAGATTTCAATGTACTTTAATTGATGATCACCAGGCTGTTTCCCTTTTACAATGAATCTGCAGTAGTTCTAGTTTTACCAGTTAGATTTAAAGAGACAGAGAGATATTGAATATTGCACTGAGGAAGAAAAACATAACTAAGATTAATACAATGCAAAAGAAGAGAGAAAGAATCAAACAGAACTACCAATACAGCGTCTTCTTAACATGTTAATAGGGCAAACAATAAAAGCACAGCCCAGTATTATATTACTGTAGGTCATTTCAGTAACAGTTAAGACAATTAGCTTTTTTCAAATATACCTCTTTAAAATAGCATTGTATTTTTTATTATTATTTCCATGTTAAACAATTACATTCAGGATTATAACTAAATAAATCACATGCAGAGATTAGATGGACAGAGGACACCATATCGTGATCAAATGATTTCTTCATTTTAATGCAGGTATGGTGATGAAATTAAACTGAAAGATGCACTTTTTTCATTCTGTATCTTGTCAGCGTTTTGTATAGTTTTATTGGTTCGAAGAGTAGTTAGCAGTTTTGATCACTTAGATCACTGTCACTAAAAATCTAAAATGAACAGTTATCACAATAACGATAAGATTGTTATATCTTTCAGATTTGTTCTCCAAAGCAATATGTACAAATCTGTGTACAGTACATAAATGTACATGTAGTATTTGTTTAATTTATTGATGGTTTTTGAGTCTGCATGTGTTTCAAGTCATTTTCAGGAAAAGGAAAAAGTTGCAGCTGCAGTTGGTAGTATTTCTATGTTACTGTTAATGTTCTTTATGGGATCTCAGTTGCTTTCTGACACGTCAAACTCTCCTCCTCCTCTGGGGCAGAACCACAACTGACAATGACAATTTGACAATTTGTCAAAACAGAAAGCAGCATGTGCCCTTTTTCTGTGCTCCCTAAAATTTATTTATGTCTAGGTTGGTGTAAATGTTTTTTTTTTTTTTTTTGTGGTTTTTATTTATTTCTTTTTTTGTCTATTGTTTTGATCCAGCAGCATTCGCATGGTAGTACCAACTCTACATTCAGAAAAATAGATCTCCTGTATAGTGCATTCAGCTTCGTTATAGTCACACAGTTCAGTATTGAGTGATTCACAGCGTTCTACTGATGCCTTGAAAATCTCAAGGCCAGGTATTTGGAATCTGCCAACTTAAAAACATTATTCAAAGACAGTACAACATATCAGACCTTTCACAAAATCTGATCCATACATTAAAAAGCTTCTTGTTGGCTTTTTGGACACATTTCCAGACAGCATCGAACAAGGGGTGAAAAGGACTTTTTGCTTGATCGATTGCTTAACAAACATTTAAACTGTTTTTAAGGGAGTCATTTTGAACCTTCACTGTCCCCTCAGTGTGCACACGTGGCCCTCAGTTAATCAGCTTTCTCCACACTAGTGTGTGCGTGCATGTGTGTACTTGTGCGTGCCCAGCTGTTTAATATACAACCTGCATCAAACTCAGATTCTTCCTAGTAGGATAAGAAAAGCTATGTCTGCCTCTTACACAGTGCATACATTGTAAAACTAAAGGGAAGCCAGGCAGAGCAAAGAGCATGGAGGCTGTGGAAGATGAGGTATAAGGTAGTGTGAGCGTTATGAGTTTTACAGAGAAAGAAAATGGCACTGGTCACAGGCTAGCACAAGTTAACAACAAACTCCAGCCTTCTGTGGAGTTTGTTCCATATTTTAAATCAGATTTAGGGAAAGAATTAAGTGAAATTAATCTCTGCAAGCAGAGGCTTGTCCCTGCTTTTAGTTGGCAACAACCTGACAATCAGTCTGTCATCAATAGCTCGAACAAAGTCCTTTCTGAACATCCAAGCCTCCCCATGCCTCGCCCAGCCTGGCCGGTCCCCTAGCCTCAAATCAGTCTTCAATAAACAAAAATAATAAGCATGTGATGAGCCATCTTGGCAGAAATGTATTTCCTATTCAGACTAAAATGTAAAAAAAAAAAAAAAAATCAGAATTGCACAAATTTAAAGAACATGAAACCAGAATTAATTGCAAATATACTACTTATCTGATATATATGAAGAAATAAAACTTGTGTAAATATAATGTGAGCTTATCTCAAATCTGGCCATGAACAAGCAGAAAGACCTTTCATACTGAAAACAGCTACTCAGTGTGCATCATATACTCACAGGCACACACAGAACTACTTCAGAGACATTCCTATTTATAATGCGTCCAGTACAATCATAACCATCACATTCATGCTCATTCTATAGATATTACTCTGGGATTAAGATTAGGTAATTGTTTTTATATTACATATTATATTAGAGTTCTTCTCTGCTACTATGCTAACTTTCTGTGCTTCAACTACAAACAAAAATCCATCTTCTAAACTCTTCTCTCCCACCTCAGAAAAGTACATTCCTATTTGGTGCAATACCTTGCTTGAAAACATTCATATTGGTTTGGCTAAATGGCATTTCAGGATGTGCAGAATTAATGCTTAATTGTATTACAGAGCTCCAAAGTTATTTCCATGTTAGTATACTATTTCAAAGTGTCCTTGGTGTGGATAAGGTTTGTGCGTGTACCATTTGAAACGATTGGTCCTCTATTTCAAAGCTGTGTACTTGGTTTCTTTGATTTACCCTGGTTTCTGGCTCTGCCTCAAAATGGCTGACATGTCCTTAAAATATCCCCCTCTCTCCAAAACCACAAGCTAAAGGCACATGAAAGAAGCCTCCTGTAACACACTTCACGTCATTTTCTTTTCCTGAAAAATTACCCCAATAATAAATATAAAAATGGCGTGACCTTCCGTCTGAAGGGACAAGCGGACGAGCTTTCATTGCTACATTTGTCACAGTCACTGCTTGTTTTGTCGATCGCTTTGTGATAATGACAGACAGTAAAATGTAGCTGAACAGGAGGAAATGACAGAATTGTTAATTAAACCTTCTTAAATGCACGATCCAAAAAACGCTGCATTCATCTTGGATCATAATTTGCTGCATCATCACAAAATATATAATTTATTTAACATAACCTCTGTATTGATATAGAAACATTTACCCTATGTGTATATTGGATTACATACAACCAACAAAGACCATGATAAAGACTTAGAGGAACCATTACATCCAGCAGAGATATGATTAGTGTACAAACATCGTTCCTTTGCCTGGCGCCTATTGAATTCACTTGAGCATAGACAGCCAAACAGTGTCGTAACCTATCTACACTAAACTGCATTCCACACTTGAAGGCTGGCTAAAGAAATAACCCTATGCAGTTCTGTAAGTGTCCGAGCTAAAACGCAAGCATCATGCACCAGCAAAGCTGTGAAAGCTGAAACAGCGTCAACTTCAGGCACCTCCTAAAACTTCACCACAAATGACAAGAAGGAACATTTTTTTGTGCTTTTTTTTTTTTTTTAACATAACATCAATTTATGTCATTATTGAGTTAATCCAAAACTACTGTAGCATGAGCAGAATTGCAAAGGATGAGTTTTGTCATGTGCACTGATGGAAAAGAAAGCTTCATGAAAGAAATAAAGATTTCTACCCTTCTAAAAACACTGTGCATGATATCTTAACAAATGATTGATGACTGATTCATTTAGGAGACATTTTGGAGAAGTTAACTCATACAAATTTTTCTTTTAACAGTGTTTTGGCACTTGTTTTTCCCTTTGGATGAGAAATTAAATTTGTGATTAGAGCCAACAGTTTAAGAACTACGCCTGTCTAATCTATAGATTAACTGTGGCATTATGCATTTATGGGATAATGATGTCTATTGGTGTGTTTAATGACGCAAAGAAAGCTGTTAAGTGTGATTATGTTATTGAAAATGATTTTCATTTTTTATCACAATTGTTAGTGCTAATATAAGTGTGTGTTAGGGCAGACGGCTAACTCACAGAAGAAAACAGACATAAAGTAAGTTCTTGTTTGCATGATAACCCCACTGTCACACAGAGCATAAACCTGGAGTTTTGACTTTGATTTCAGCTAACAGAATCTAGCGTATTGAAGACTGCAGCAAATGTGTTTGAGACTAGTACCATGAGAGAGCGAGAAGCTTTGAAGAAGCAGAGAGTGCCATCACTCTTGCTCTACCTCCAGTGAAACAGATGACAGGGAGGGGAAAAATGGGAGGGGGAAAGCACAGCGGGGCTCATGAAGCTCAGAACTCGATCTTGCAGGCAGGGAAGGACTCGTCTTGCATGACTACGGTGCTGCTGGAGGCCAGAACCATGATGTTCAGGTCCTGCTGTTTCTCGTGGGTCTGCTGGTACCAGTCCCGGGTCACCTCCGTGTCGTGGGTCGGGATCAGAGTCACCTGACCGGGACACAAGGAAACAAAATGAGGTGGAAGATACTAGGGAGCACATGAAGACGAAAAGAGATAAATGATGAGGATAACTGGTTGAACAAATTCATGAATGGATATTTAAAGAATAGTTTAATGTTTTTGGGAAATTGCTTTCTGGCCATCAGTTGAATGAGAAGATAAATACCACTCACTCATATCTTTACACTGAATATGAAGCTGCCTTCAGGATTCTGTTAGCTTAGCGCAAAGACTGGAAACAAGGGGAAAACGCTAACCTCAGTTCAAAGCTAACACAATCTGCCAACCAGGACTTCTAAACCTCTGTAACGCATTATATCTCGTTCCAAGGTGAAACAGCGTCACAGAAGAAACCAGGATTTACAGAACCTTGCAGTATACAATACATACAGCACTGTGATACCAGACTTAAGTTTTGTCGATAATGTGCTCACATAAGCTGTACTTGCTTTCTCTTTACAGACAGAAGTGAAGAATTTTATTATATTCTGCTGCTATAGACCGTCTACAAGGTAAAATGTGTTTTGTGTTCTGGGTATACTACGCAGTCATCGGCATAAAAGCCATCCACACCAAGAACAATAACTATAACGATGTAAGCATTCACACTGATAAAAGATAACCCACGCCCCATTCTTGGTGGTGTGGACTTAAGGGTGATACCTGTTACCTTACAATTACCTTCCTCCCTGTTTCAATATCACGGTACCTGCTGCAGATGAGATGTTTGAGTTTAGAATGACAATCTAAGTAAATAATATCCATACTGTCTCTATACAGTATATTTTTTTAAATTTACAAATATGTACAGTAATAAAAAGCCCACTAAGTGTAGGAGAACACCCTATACATTTGTCTGTATACAGTACATATATTGTGGGCACTCTTGGATGCAGAGAATATGAGAAATGGAGGGACAGATGGACTGATGAAGACAGAGGGTAAATACCTGTAAATTGGAGCCCCACTGAGCTTTGCCCTCCAGCAGGGCGTCCAGGACTCCACGGCTTGGCTCACCGCTGCCTGGGTCATTCCCGGTCACCACGTAATACGCAGCTCGCACTCTCTTGAAGAATTCCTGGTCCACATTCTTGGCACTGCAGTGATTGGGCACATAGGCCAGGTCGACGTAGACGGGTGGTCCAGGGGGGACGGCTGAGCTAGTTTTCTGGGAGTTGTTACCTGGAAGTGAAGAAATAAAATAAAACCGCATTACAGGCTAATAATAGTACTTAGAATTGACAGAATGACGAGAATGAATTACGCAGCAGTAGCAATGAACTTAGCAACTTTTTCCTCAACTAAACAAATTACATTCTGTTAACTGTAACTTCTTTACACAAATAAATGATTCTAAAAATGGGACCCCACCATGTATCATCACCTTTATAGAATTTCTGTGCTGCATATCCATCATTCTAATGTGCTCCTGTACCTCCTAACTGCACCTTTTTTAATGACCACAATCTGTTGCATTTCGAATACTGACATTATCATGTGCAGACTTATGATAGTAGCAAATAGATTGAATACATTTCCCAGAAATAATCATATTTACAAAAATAAATAAATAAATGTAGAAACATGGCAACCAGTCAGCCAGTTTCACAAAATGTTATCAACCTAACAGCACATGTACAACTACTAAATGGTATCTACCAATGTGACCTATATGTTAGGGTATTTTAATTAGGAACTTAATCATGTTCATGTAATTCGAGGGAACACTACATAGTTGTTTTGATTGCATTGTAATTGTCTTATCAGCATGTAAATGTTGCGAATGGCTGAATTTAGTTGGATCTAGCGGTCTTAACATCTCCTTGTGACTTCAGTTTTATTATTAAATAAAAAGATCCAAGTATCAAGTATTTTATCAGTACCTCAAATATGATTTATTTTGAGGATTAGTTAAAATATATATATATATATAGACATTAAATGTAAAATGTAAAAGGAGAACGAGTGCAATCAACTTTGCCACTTTGCAACCATTGTCTTTAATTCTGAAGCTTTGTGTATCCTAATGCTTTATCAATCTGGTCTGAAGGCAGTTTGAATCAGTCCAGGAAATATTTGGAAGCTAAATGCATGTTATGTTGCAAGATGTGAATATGTTAACACACCTGAACTGCTCTTGACACCATTGACCAAGCCTTTCCCCGGGTTGAGAATCTCACTCCTGGAGCCTTGGGTCTCAGACATCTTGATCAGCCTGGAGCTTCTGTCTGTGTCCTTCCTCCTGAGGGAGGCTGATCGAGGTGAGGCGGAGTCCTTGGAAGTCTGCTTCACTGGAGTTGACGACCTCTTTCTGACCTCGCCCTTACGAGCAGGGGAGGCTGACTTTGGTTTGCCCTTCCTGAGGCCCTTTGTGGTCTTGTGCTCCTTCTTAAGAAGTTTCTCTGTGCTGCTGTGGTCATTGAGAAGAGCCTCTGGATCTACCATGCACACATCTGGGTGGGGAGGGTGGGGAAGCGGGTCCTTCATCGGGGTTGGGAGGGGATCATGAGTCTTCTGAGCTGACCTTGGTGATGAAGGATGGTGACCCCCTCCAGCTCCAGATGCAGATAATTTGTCCACCGGCAGATGTTCAGCATCTTCGTCTGAGTCGAGATTTCCTTCAGCTGTTATGGATGGACACTCCTCGGTTTCTGGAGGGACGTCAGAGTCAGATTGTGAAGGCAACGACTCGCTGACTGACGTCGGAGGTGTTTCCTCTCCAGCTAATGTTACAGCCAAACCAGATGACATGCCACCGGACAGCTGTTGTGGCCCCTGTCCAGCATCTCCATGATAACTTGGAGAGTGGTGGCGCCTTTGCTTGTGCGACCTCCGTTTAACAGAGTGTTGCTCCTGATCATCCTCATCCCCTTCCTGTGAGTGGTCACTGTGGCCATCCTCCTCACCCTCGTCACTGGAGAGCTGATGAGGGCTCGGGTTGATGAATGATGGAGAAAGTTCTCCTTTGCGATGTTTATATTCACAGGAGGAGTAGCCTGGATGGGAAGCAGAGGAGGAGGTTGCTCTAGTGTCCAAATCAGAGGGACGATCAGCCTTTGCAGCTCCTTTGCTAGATGTTTCTGTGTGATAGGTATCTTTTGAGGAGGACACAGAGGTACCGTGGACACTGGCCATCCATTCCATCGCTTCCATTGCTTCCTCATCCTCTTCCTCCTCATCATCATCACCATAACCTGGAGGAGGGGCACTTGGGCAGTCCTCAGGCCTCTGTAGTAGCTCCCAATCAGATATACTGCTCTTTCTCCTGACCTCTAACCTCTCTGATGGCTTCTCCAACAAGTTTTTCTCCTCTACTCCTTCTGCCTGTCCTTTCTTACAATCTTCGGCTTTTTCACACATCTTTGGATCAGCGGTTACCTTCTCCTCTGTGGTGTCTTTGCATGTCTTTTCCTCTAATTTCCTATCCTCTATTTTCTGCTTGACTTCACTGTCTTTAGCAGTCTCTGTCTTTTCATCTTTTTCTTTTGTTTCTTTTTCAGACACCTTTGCATCTTCCTTCAAAGGTGCCATAGCTACATTTGCCTCTTCCTCTTTTAGCTCCGGTGTTTTATCCGTTTTCTCTTTGCCCTCTTCCATTTTGGACACGTCTGTTGTGGCACATGTGGTTTTGCTAGCACCACTATCACTTGGTGGAGTAACTGGGGCTGTCTGTTGAGTTATTTCCATCACCACGTCAGGTTTTGACACAGCAGAAGAAGAGGTGATGGTGACTGCCTTCGTCTCTGTCGAGTGTATGGTACTTTCTACCACATATGACTCAGTTATTGATGAAAGAGTCTCTTTTTGTTCAGCCACTTTGATTTTTTGACATTCAATGCGACATGGTAGGGTGCTGTCCTCCATTTCAATTGTATCAGGCTCCTCATCTTCCACTGACCCTTGGGACACCCTATCAGAAGAGTCAGCCCTTTTGAGGGGAGAAACATCAAAGCAAGCCTCTGATGTGGGTAAACTTTCTGACGCTTTTACAGGTTCGGTACTTTGTAGAGATGGGGCTGCAGAGAATGTTGTAATCTTAGTTTCTAGCGTAGAGAAGCTATCTGTGCTTGACTTTGTGTCTGTTTCAGGCTTTGCAGAACCACTTTGATCCCCAGTCTGTTTGGCAGTGATAGACAAGATCGGAGATGGTGGTTTGGTGTCTTCAATTTGGCCGGGCAAAGACACTTTTGTTGCAGGTTTCGTTGTCACCTCCATGTACTCATCTCTCTGAAACCCTCCAAAGCAGGAGCTTGTAGACTCAGTGGTGAATGATCGCTCGTCTTTGGCTAGAGTTACATCACAGCTTGATAACGTTGTGGAAGGTTTGTCTCCCAACTGCTGGCTCGAAGGTCCAGATGTTGTGCCTGAGGACGAGTAACTATACGATGTGGAGGAGTATGTTGAAGAAGAGTATGTTAAGGTGGTGTATGTGCAAGTTGATGAGGAAGTTTCTTCATGTTTTGCAGTGATATCTGGGGTCTGCCTCTCATCTTGACTTTCTTCATGGATGTCTCTTTGGCTGTAATATGTATCATGGCTTACCTTGGATAGCTGGGAGGCATCTGAGAGCACATCCTCCTTCAATTCTACTTGACTCTCCTCACTGTCAAAATGCTCAGAATAACCTCCAGATCTGCTCTGTCCGATATCGGCATAGCTGCCTCTTAATGGAGGGGAGGAACTAGATGTAGCCTTGGCCATGGACTCTGAATTGTCAGGTGGCAAAAAGATGCCTGTTATGCTGCTTGTGGACATTGATTGAGAAGTTTCCTTTGTCAAAAAACTTAGCGATGGAGACACTTTGTCTTCATCTCCTTTTTTCGACTCTTGTACTTGAGCAGAGGTAAAATCCTCTGCTGATGACAACCTTCTCTTTGTGGTTTGTTCAGGAGACAAATTAATTTTGTCTGTGTCCTCTGCTTTTTTCGTTTCGGGAAGTTTTGGGACATCTGCTGAGGTGAAACTGCTTTCGTCCATTTTGTAAGCACTTTGGTCTGGTGACAGAGATGTTTTACCTAGATCTTCACTTCTTGTCTCAGGAAGCTTGGATGTGGCTGTATCACTAGCTGTATCATCTTCTTTGAGTGATTTTATTTCTGGAGATGGTGGTTTCTTACTCATGTCCATCTTGTGTGTTTCTGTTACTTTAGAAGCTGAGGCATCATCAGGTGTTGGTTTAAAGACTGTTTCCTCTTTAAGCAAGCTTGATTCAGGCAACTGAAACTTTTTATTGGAGTCTTCTACTTCTGCTAACATAGCACCATCATCAGAGCTACGTCTGCACATTTCTTTTTCAGACTGTTCTCTGGCACCCTTTTCCATATCTATATCACTTAACTCCTCCTCTTCTTCTTCCTCCTCGTCCTCATCTTCGTCTTCATCATCATCAACATTGAAATCTTCCCCCTCTACAAGTAACCTTTTATCTATTAGACTCTCTTTTGCTTCAGGAAAGTCTAACACGGATTTACAAGTGGCAGAGCTGCTAATTTGACTATTGTCAGATGCCAAAACGTTATCATCTATTCCATGTCCTAAAAATGTGGGAGCAGTTGCAGTCCTTGAATCACTTGAAGTTGCTTCTTTCTCTAAAGGTAATGCTTGTTGAGGTAAAATGTCTTTTTCTGCAGGTGAATGCCGACCAGATGAAGATCCCTCTCTTTCATGATCAGAAGACTCCACTTTGTCTTTAAGTGATTCAGCAGATTTTTCTTTCTCTTTTTCTGTTGTTCTCTTTTCAGTGAATTCTCCAAAAGCTACAGGAGTAGTTGAAACTTGGGGACCAAGATCTGATTGGCTCCATGGCGGAGAGGGTGTTTCTTGTCTTAATGAGGGGCCTGCTGATTGAACAGCACTGGTAGAAACCTTATCAGTTTCTCCTGTTGCCCCAGTTTGAGCTGCTGCAGCACCTTCGGTCATATAATCTTTTTCTTTCTCTGATTTCTCAGGTTTGTCCTCTTTGGTACTGAAAGAATACGACTCAGCAGCCTGGGACATTTTGTTATCTTGCATTTCTATGGATGAAAAGCTTTTGTCAACATAAGGTGTATCTGGTCTTTCTTCTCTCTCCCTCTCTTCCTCCTGGCCTTTCTCTCTGTCTTCAAATTTAGGTGAGGCACTTTGGCTGTGGTGGCTGCTCCTCTCACTCTCTGTGAGGGACACTGGGCTGTAGTCGACCCTGCTAAAGGACAGAGGCTCTTCTTTGTATTGATCATCCAGGAGAAACATGGTTCCTCCAGCCTCTGTCTGGCTTGTTCTTCTGTTATCATCAATACCCATATCAGAGGCATCAAAACCTAAAGAAACCTCACTTTCTTCTCTAGAGTCCAAGTCATGATCCTTTGGAATGGGCTTTTCATATGGATCATATTTGGACGCACCAAAGGTTTGCTTTTCATCTCCGAGGCTTCCACTTACCACTTCCTTCTCTGTGGCCATTTTATCAACACTTTCCATTTTTGCAGTGTCTGATTTTACAACTTCAGTGTGGCTGGCATCCACAGAATCTTTGTCCAGCATAAAATATGAACAGGGTTGTGATAATCCTGGAGAAGCCACCTCTCGCTCTCCTTCCATCTCCCGCTCTGCTTCCTTTTCTGGTTTTTCATCCAGCTTTGTCTTTTCTGTAGCACCAAGTCCTGAGCTTGCCTGAGACGGTATCTGTTTCTCTTGTGGTGACTCGTCCACACTGGATTGGCTCTCAGTGCTTGAAAGCGTACAACTCCTGTGTTGACTGTCAGCGCTTGATACTGTTGACAACACAGGCTTTTTGTCAGTAGAGTCTGACAGAACCTCTGCTTTAGCTGCTGAGATGGCTGAAGCTGTTTCTTGTTTTGGAATAGAGGTTGTCTCTTCTTTTGATGTGACAACATCAAAGGAGGGCTCTGGCTTGGCAAGTGGCGCAGGTGTGGTTTCTGCAACATCTTTTCCTGCTTCAGGTGAAAGTCTGGATTCCTCTTTGCCAAACTCTTTGACATCTTCATCAATAGAAGGCTCCTGCATTGTAAGTGTTGGTATAATCACTGTGGTCTGTTCTGATGTTGGTGGTTTAGTTTGGTCACTTGTCTCTATAGTTCGGGATGAGGGCAGACCTGCAGAGGAGATGTCATGTTCTGATTTTCTTGGCTCCACTGACAAAGGTCTGGAGCCTGCTCCTCCCATACAAATGTCCTCCTCCTCTTCATCTTCCCTGTCTTCATCGGATGACTGAACGACAAATGCAGGTTTGTAATCTGACTTGGACACCGTTGCTGCTTCTCCTATTTCTGTCTGTGCGGGTTGTTTAATGGCTTTGTCCATGTCTTTCTCTTGTAATTCCTCTCGCTCCCATTTCTCCTCTTTGGTGTGGTCTGCATCAGAGGGGTCATACTTTTCTTTCTCTGTGATCTCATCTGTCTTTGTACAAGCAACATCCTTTTCTTTAATCATTTTTTCATCCTCCTCCTCTGGTTTTGTCTTTTCATCTTTGATGTCTTCAGTCCCATATGTATATTCTTTTTCTTGTTCTTTTTCCATTTTCTGTTCTTTGCTTAGTTCAGCAACGTGTGCATCATCTTTTTCTTTCTCCATTTTCTCTTCTTGACTAATAATGACCTTTGCTTCCTTATCTTGCTCCTTTGTCCCCTCCTGGATGTGGCTGGGAGACACACAAATGTCTTTCACTGGTTTCAGGTCTTCACTTGATGTAGTTACAGAAGTGTCTTGCTGCGTTTCTATTGATGTAGCTCCAAAAGTTTCCTTTCCTTTCTGACTTTCAGTAAGCTTATCAGATGTTTCCTCATGTATATGCTGATCACTAACTTCACAAATATCCTTTGTAGTTTTCTCCTCTTCAGAGGTTTGACTCACAGGAAGATCTACCTCTTTTTCATCCTTCTTAGGATAATCGTCTTTCTCTTTGTTTTCATCTTTGATGCTAAATGTTGGAGTGTAAATCTCCTTCTCTGTCTCCTGTTTGATAGAGTCACCACTGTCCTGTTGGACTACATCTTTCTTTCCCCCCTCGATGATTTCAACTTTTGGTGGCTCTTTCTCCTTCGTGTCCTCGGGTTGCTCAACACTGGTGTCCTTAATTTCCTCCAAAATGGGTTCGTGGTCAGATATACCACTCTTTACCTCCTCTTTAAACTCCTCCATTTTTATCTGTTTTTCAGAAATGTCACTTTTTTCAACCTCCTTGTCATCCTTCATGGTTTTGACAGAAGTGTCATCTATGTTATTTTCCTTCTGCTCCTTAATGGATACAGAATCAGTAATATCACTCTTTTCTTTATCTTTTTCCATTTCTTCCTCTTTAACCTTAATTTCTGTTTCATAAATTTCATCCTTGATGATTTCTTTTGTCTCCTCCTTGATGAGTTTTACATCAGAAGTAACATCTGTCAACTCTGCCTTTTCCACATCTCCAAGAGGTTTTACATCACCAGTGTCTTTGCTTTCCTCCTCCTTGGCAGGTGTGATACCAGAAATTTCCTCCTTAATTGTTACTGTATCTTTATCTTCCTTGATGGGTTTGATAGTAACACTATGATCCTGAATTGAAACTTCTTCCTCCTTGGATGGTTTCACAGTGATAGTTTCCTCCTTATCTACTGCTTTCTCCTTTTCTTCTTCTATCGTTGATTTAGTGGCACAAATATCTTTGCTGATTTCTTTTTCCTTTTCGTCTTGTGTGGTAGGTTTAACAACAAAAATGTCCTCCTTTGTGGTTGTTTCGTCCTTGGATGTTTTGACAGCGGAAATATCTTTGCTCACCATTACATCCTCTTCCTCAATCTGGGCAGGTTTGACAGGAAGAGGAACATCTTTGTCTTTATTTGTTTCTGTTTGCCCCTTTTCTTCCTCCATGACTGGTTTGACAACATCCTTAAGTATCTCCTTTGCTTCTACCATGGTTGATGTGGCAGAGAAATCATCTTTACATACTATAACATGCTCTTCCTCCACCTTGGTAAGTTTGATGGCAGCAGTATCCTCTTTACTTTCCTCTTGTTCCTTTTCTTCTCCAACTGTTGGTTTAGCAGCAGAAGTATCTTCCTTACAGGGCAGTTTATCTTTTTCCTCTGCCATGGTAAGTTTTATAGCAGCAGTCTCATGTATACTTGTGTCTTCCTTCTTGTCTTCTTCTACAGTAGATTTGAAGATGTAATCTTCGCTTGTTGTAACATCTTTATCCTGCTCCCCGGAGAGTTTGGTGTCATCATCTTTGCTTGTCTCTTTTTCTTTTTCTTGGTCGGTGGTTGGCTTTGTAGCAAGAATCTCATCTTTACTCACTGTTACATCCTTTTCCTCCACCTTGGTGAGGCTGATGGTTGAGATAACATCTTGTCCCTTTTCTTCTTTTACGGTAATGGCAGACGTATCGCCCTTACTAATAATTTCTTCTTTGGTGAGTTTAGCAACAATGATGTCACCAATCTCTTTCTCATTTTCTCTCTGGTCATCTGTAAAGAGCTTGGTAGCAGAAGAATCTACCTTTTCCATCTCTTTTTCTTCTTTCTTATCATCGCTCACTTTGATATCAGATGTTTCTGTCACCTTTTTCTCCTCATCTTTAGTAGGCTCAATAATGGACACATCATCTTTCTTTGACTCTATCTCCATCTCATCTTTAACAGGCTTGATATCTATAGCATGGACCTGTTTAGTTTCTTTCTCTTCAGTCTTTATATGGCTCATATCAAAAGTATAACTCTCTTCTGTCTCTTTCTCTTCAGTCTTTATATGGCTCATATCAAAAGTATAACTCTCTTCTGTCTCTTTCTTCTCCTCTTTCAAAATCTTACTATCAGATACATCATCCTTTTTAACCCCTGTCTCAGCAACCTCACCTTTGGGTTTGAGATCAAAATCATCGTCATGTTTTTTATCTTCCTGCTTCTGCTCACATTTGATTTGTTTGGCCTCAGAAGCAACAATTTCCATCTCTGCTTCTATAGTAGTTTTGACTTCAGGAGAGTAGTCTTTCTCAGGCTCTTTCTGTTCATCTTTAATGACTTTCTCAACAGTGATAATGTCTGTTGCAATTTGCTCTTCTTTGATAGGTTTAGTATCAGAGGTATCATCCTTTACTGCCTCTTTCTCGGCTTTTTCATCTGTGATGGATTTAACAGCAGAAACGTCTTCCTGGATGACAGATTTCGGTTTCTGCTCATCCATGATTTGTACGACATCGGAGGTATCGTCCTTTTCTTTCTCCTGTTCCACCATGACAGTTTTAACTGCAGGTGTATCACCATGATCATCGTCATCATCCTTCTTGTCATCATCCTTCTTGCCATCATCGTCATCCAGGAAACGACTCTCCTTCTCTGGAAATGTATCTGGAACAGGTACTTTATGTTCTTTCTGTTTGAACCCTTCATCAACCTCTTCATCACTTTGTCCAGATGAGATAAGGGAATCCCTTCCTAACACAGGTGGCTGAACTCCTGCAACAACAGGGATTGCTTCTGCCTGTTTGCCTTCATCTTTTAGCAATGATGAAGTGTCTTTTTCTGTCTCTATCATTGGAACCTCTTTAATGTCCTTCTCAAATGATTTGTCCAAAGATGTTGAAACATCTTCTTCCTGCTGATCTGCTTTCTTTTTTTCAACATCTTTTTGCGTCTCTGTTTCTGCTTCATCTTTCTTTTTAGTTGTGTCTTCAGATGCTGTGACTACATCGAGGAGCTTTTCTTGCTTTTGCAGCTCCAAATCAGGGAAGACCTTCATCTTGTCTTCCACTGGCGACTGACGAAGTGGAGAGTGAGATGCACTTGGTGGTCCTGACTGTGGAGGGGAGGCCATTTTTACAGTGATATCATCTGGACTGAAGCAGCGCTCTTCACTCTCTGAAGTTACTGAGTCGGAGCCAAAAGGTCTAGTAGGCACAACAGATGACATTTCTTTAGATGCAATTACATCTATATTTTCCTCTTCAACTGGTAGGTGAGCTGGTTTGGTGTCTTGTATTGACATTGAAACTGGAGACACTGAGCCAGCCAGCTTATCGCTATCTCTCTCTTTTTCCTGTAATAATTGGGATAAAGCATAGCCCTCTTGGAGTTTTTCAAGTGAAATGTCAACATTAGGAGTTTGGTCTTCTTCCTCCTCTTCTTCTTCCTCCTCCTCCTCATCGTGAGCATCAGGAGCTTTAGCCCCCACTTTTACTTCTGCAACAGGAAGTTGTAAGTCCTCAGCAGGAGACTTGGATTGTTTGTCATCTTCTAAAGAAGGCGGTGAAAGAGTTCCTGCAGAGTGTGGCTGCTCTTTGCTTTGGGTAGTGTCAGGTGGTGTTGAAAGGTTAATGGGGGTTTTGGGTGGTTCTTCAGCTGGGGTCGCTGTGACGGATGCCACAGATTGGTCTTCAGCGATAGAAGTAGGGAAGGACGACACTTTGTCATACTCTGTGATGGACGTTGCAGAAGACACATGCTCCTCTTCTGCCAGAGGAGCAGTGATGATGTTGGTAAACACTGATACTTGCTCCTGCACACCTGGGATAAAACTTTTCTCAGTCATAGCCGCAGCTTGAATCTCCCTCATGCCGTGAATGTTTACAAATGATTCGGTCTGGTCTGGAACAGAGATGTCATAGGCACCAACATCGTATTGAAGATGTGGAATCCTCTCCTCTGCCTCCTCATGAATCTCCTCATCAGAGATGGTCTGTTCTGTCTCAGAGTAGCCAGGGATGGTCTCGTCTTGGATATAGGAGATGGGTTCAGCTGCAGCGGCTCCTTGAGCTACTGAGGTTATGGGAGCTGTGGCCCCTCCAACATGTGACAGGTAGCCCTCCTCCTCTTCTTCTTCTTCATCTTTGGATGCAGTCAGAATTTCAGTGACCATTTGCTCTTCAGCTGCATCTTCAGGTTTGACTTTGATCTCTTCGTCTGCTATTACATCTAAATCTTCTACCTCCTCCAGTTCAGCTTTCTCCACTGCTTCCTCTTCCTCTTCGGAGGGAGTCATTTGTAGCTCTTCTTTTGTCACAACCATAGCTGAGAGATTTTCTGATTTCTCCATTTCTTCTATCTCATGTTTCCTGTCAAGTCCATCGTCCTTTGCCTCCTTCCATTTTGATTCATCTTCCTCTTCACCTATTCCCATATCTTCTTCCTCCTCTTCTTCTGTTTTCTTTTCAGCAGCTGGGGCTTCTTCTTCCTCCTCCTCCTCTTCCTCATCCTGAGTTGCTGCTCCCTCATCCTCAAACTTTTGCGCATCTTCAATTTCTCTGTCTTGTGTTGACTCTTTGTCTTCAGCTTCAGCTTCTGGAGCTGAGGCTTCCTTTTCTGTAAGCTCTGTGTCAGGTGGAATTTCAGAAGTAGTTTCTTGTGCCTTCTGGTTCTCTTGGGGAAGGCTTTGTGCTGTTGGCTCCAATGAAACCTTGTCACTGTCTGGTGGCTCTGCTGATACAGCTACGTCATCCTTTTTCAGTGTGTCAAAATCCTTGGTGAGGTCTTCAGGAGTTGAGGGAGCAGATATGCCCTCAACAGCTACATTCTCTGTTGGTTCAGGTTGAATAGTTTCAGGTTTTGGCTCCTCTTTCTTCGGTTCAGCAGTTTCAGCAGGTTCTGCCTTTGCCGCTTTGATTTTTCCAGTCTTGGCTTTACTTGACACTTTAGCTTTATGTAATGTCTTCCTGACTTCTGGTGTAAGTGGTTTTAGGTCAGGCTTTGTAATTTTTCTCAGCTCAGGTTTGGATGAGTCCTTCTTTTTGTCCTCTTTGGACTTGACCTCCTTCTTTTCATCTTTTTTAGCGGAGTCGTCTTTCTTTATTTTCTTGATCTCTTTCTTTTCCTTGTCCTTTTTCTCATCCATTTTTGACACCCTTTCTTTAGGGTGCTTTTTTAAGGATTTTTCTTTCAAGAGTTTTTTCTTTTCTGGCACATCAGTTTTAGATTTTATAGTCTTAGTAGGCTTTTTCTCCTCTTTTTTCTCTGATATATTTTCTTTCACAGAGTCACTCTTTGCCTCTGTGGCGGCCGACACGTCATCTTGTCCTTCAGTTTCTTTCTTTGGAGCCTTTGCGGTAGTCTTCGGGGAGGACTTGAGACTCTCTTTGCTATCGGTTCTTTGTTTTAACTTGGTTTGTTTTATAACAGAGGGTGGAGCTCCTGAGGCAATGTCCTTTTGTGTGGCTACAGGATAGCGCAAGAAGTCAAGGTGCTTTAATTTTTCTAGCCCCTCTAGGATCTTGTTTTGTGGTGCATTCCCAGGGAACAGCACTCTGACGATCTTTTCTGCAGGGTTGGCAGGAAGCCAGACGACTAAGGCTGTAACTGATGTAAGGTAGGGCACAGATATTTCTCCTTCTTTCCCATTGGGCAGCACAATACCAGTTTTGGCCTTGCTGTTGCCAGCCCACTTCTGCATTAAAAATTGCATCTCTTTACTGTCTTTGACAGGGTTGAGAATATACATGTCTAACCTGCCCACTCCCATCTTGTGGAACAGAGTAATGGGCTCAATGGTGTTGCTGACCACTCGACAGAGAGGCTCCGGCTTGATTCCTAGTTTGTTAAGGTACTGCAAAGTCAACGAGGCCTCTTCGATGCTGCGTTTCACTTTAAGATTAGACTCTGGCATACGGAGCTTCTCTGGCACGTTGAAGAATACCACACCTAGTTCAGGAGAGATCAGGTTCTTCATCCAGTCACTATAGTTGGTAGAGCCTTGAGACTGCTCCTCCTCCTGTTCTGCTATCTTCCTCTGAAGCAGCCCATTGATACCTGGGAGATTGTCAGCGCCAATGTGTGTGAGTAGAATCGAGTCAATGCGGTCCAAGTGACGAACAAGCTTCCAGAAGCATGATTTTCGCTCAGAGCCTCCATCCACTAAGATGTTGAAGCCATTAACAGCAAAGAGAGCAGAGTCTCCTCGTCCACCGGGAAAGATGTAGCAACATGGCTTGGACAGTTTCAGGAAGCCTCCTGAAGTAGGTGGCTCCAGGAGGTCAAAAGGTGAAGGGACGTCAACTGTCTCAGAGATATACTCTGTGAACTCGGTGACGCCCTCCATCTTGGGGAGAACAGGCTCAGGGTTTAGTTTGTATTCCAGGAACTCCCGCAGGGTCTGATGCTGTCCCAGGGAGCTCCAGCCCACCTCCCCGCGGCAGGACACAGTAAGTGTAGCCTGCTGCTTGGGGGCTGTTGTGCCCAATAATTCACTGACCTGCCGGAGGACACACATCAGTCAGTGATGAATGAATAAATTTGTAGATGTGTTGTAAAGATATACAATACTAAATATGTACCTAGCCTTTTATATTCTATATATACTATTGTAATGCACGCTAACACGTTCATAAATGTCATAAAAAGCTTTAAAATACTGTATAATTGTACCGTATGCATTTTTCAGAAAATATTAGTTTTGACTCACCCCAGGATCAGCAAAAACACGAGAAAAGGTCTGGTAGGTGAAAACCCCAGTTTGAAGAAGAAGGCCACCGTGATCTGAGCTCTGGCCACTCAAAACCAGAAGCTTGTGTCCTGCTGAGTCTGTGACTAGAGACTGGATCTGGGACACACACAAAGAGAGAAAGGGAGACAGAGGACAGTTAAAGGACAGACAACATTACCAAGATAGAGAGAAATACTCTAATAAAGTCACTAATAAAGGAAGATACCCTTTACTTGTGTTAAGGTTAAATCTAACAGACACAAAAGTCACCAGTCTTTTTGTTATTGGAGCTCCATAACAAATGTGGAGGTGATTTGCTGGGTATCTAATCTCAAAAGTTCTTCTGTACTGACTGATGTGTCCATAGCACCTGGTATTGAAAACTGTCAAATACAAAAAGCAGGCATTGAATGCCTGGCTGTCTTTAATAAGATAGATCCTGATTAATAATTATAGTAATAGTAATTCTGCCTATTTTAGACTGTACTTCATTCTGGAAAAGTTGTAAAATGTGGAGGTAATTTAGAAATGGTGTCTCCGTTACATACTTAATCCACAAGAAAGCACTGACAGGTTTATTTTTTGACTATAAAATGTTCTGCTCAGTCCATATCTTGGTCTTGGATTTGTTGGGCAAAAGAAAACATAATAATTTTGGTATCATTCTCAAAATTTGCCCAGCCTTCAACAGAACTAACAGGTAAATGTGTCAGTCAGAGGAGAAGGAACATGCAGCCAGCACTGACATATACCATGTTGATATTACCTCTGATACAACAGTGTCTTCTGAAGGGTTGACAAGCACCACAGTCTCTAGGACATCACTTCTGTGGTGAAGAGTTCTTTGCCCTGTAGGTGAGATTAAAAACATGATTTTAATCCTTTATTAATAAAGTATTTAAGTCTGGGATTGAACTCCATCAAGGCCTGAAGGTTGGACAAGGTAAACATGTTGACCAACACTGTAGCCAGACGCTGAGCCGTCTGGCCTAAAGACATCCTGCTGGACGACGTCCAGACCTAATTTGGAAAACCTCTTTGAGATTTACCATACTGCATACAGCATCGTATGTGGGGCAATCACTATATAGAGACAGGCAACCCACTTGTGCATCAACGCAAGAACAAAAGTTGGAATAGGAAATAGGTCACTGATGTTTGTTGGGGGAAGTTTAAAGCCACAACACACACTAAGTTGAGACCAGTATTTACCATGGATACTAGGTATTATGCTTTTCTATTACTTGACCTCTGGCCTAAGACAGAAATACAGCCACTAGCAATGTGGTGCTGGTTGTAAGGAGTCCGATTTTCACATGCCAGGAACATTAAAAGACAAAACTAAAAACCATCTTGTGATGGGATCACACCAGCATTTCCTGTTAACATGTTGACGTTCCAACCCGTAAGTACTCAGCGGTCATTACTACATTATCCATCATCTTCATCATACATGGAACTTGGCCTTTATTTTGATCTCAACTACACACCTGTACAGTTTTGTGACTGCATCTTGCGCATTTGCGGCGCTATCATTTCGACAAAATTTGTCCACAGACATATAAACACCTGCCAAAATACTATAGTTCCTGCTACAGTAGGTTTCTCCGGGACCACATTTGCCATGATGACACACACACAGACTCACAAGGTAACTACAATGCCAGCCACATGCTGTGGCAGCTGATAACAATTCTGTGAGTGAAAACAATAATGCATGGAAATACACAAACAAAAACCTGAGCATTGAAGAGCACATTCCCATACATCCTGAATATTCATCATATTATGCGTCAGCATTTAATTCCACTCAGCGATGATGTTAAGCTTTTAATTCCCCTTTGTTTCAGCACAGATGCAGGGTCTAATATTAGCGATGTCTAATAATAGAAGGATCTCAGTGACTCCACCATCCACTGAGATCTTAAGTGCATCCCTTGAGTTTGCAGTGCTTTGCCATCTTTTTAGGATCTGGGCTGTCAACATGTGTTGTCCATGAAAAACCTCTGATGATAAATGCGATAAATCATTCTCAGCTTCAGATACTGTGATGGTTTAAGGACTGTGACATTATGAAATTATTAAGGAGTCATGACAGTTAAGATGCATGAGTTTGAATTAAATTGATAAGAAAAGTAATTTCACACAGTAAAGAAATTATTCAGCTTTTTATCAATAAGGTAATCAGAGCAGTACTTATAAGTCTAGACCATCTGTGAGTCAAAGGAAGAAGCACTCAATAAGTAGCTGTCATATTGCAGATGGCAATCACAGCCCTAGTAACTGCTTTCAGCAGATGATTGTATTTTATGCTTTCTTATTCTTTATTGAACTAAATTGCGTTAACATTATGACAGTGATGAAACTGACTGAACTGACTCAACCACATTTTAACGTTATAAAGGAATGTCGGGAGATTTTTCTCCTCTCTTGGAGATCATAAAACTTTTAGTTGGCTTTTGGAAACTTATCTTGCATATAGGAAAGGTTGCATCTCAAACTTCCAGCAGCAGCACAGAATAAATAGAAATAGAACTAAAAAGCTGATCCATATATTCATAATTATATATTATACTACATTACTATGTAATACATTTTTGTCAGGTCTACCCAAAAAAGCTTTTTGTCACAAGATGACTACAAAAACTACAACTCATCATCTGCGGACCATAAATGTTCATAGGGATCCAATAAGATATTCAGTCAAGACTAAATGTGAATTTGAAATATATATAACAAATAACCTGTTTGAATTCTTCTATGCAACCTGTGAAGCACTGTATTGCCACTGTGTGTGAAAAGTGCTACAGTATATAAATATAACTGTCTTGGCTTGTGAATTTGAGCAGCAATAACCATGGCTTAGCAGACATTGAGACGAGTGCCACAATAAATCAGAAAAAGAAGGTTTAAGATATCAATACTGCCACAGTAAAAAAAAAACATGAACCCTGTGAACCTTGCCGATTGATTGTACAAAGAAAGAAGGGAGAGAAAATCAAGCACAATAAATGGAGAAATGACATTAAAAAGGTTAGAATAATAAAATGATGTCGGTATGCCTATAAAGTGAAGGCATATTCACAAATGCCTACAGTGCATTAAACAGGAATTTATAAATATCAAACAAACATTCAGAGCGCATCAAACTAGAGGATGTGGCTCCCTCTGTTGATGTTACCATAGCAACACACTGCCATATGCTTTCCCCCCCCTGCAGACACACTGCAGTTACCGTCAGTAATGTGAGACAGAAAATTATTTTTACTCAACTGAAGCCTGCGTGGAGCGAGTCAGGAGAGGTGACTGAAGGATTTTGTTGATGGACGGAGAACGATGATACCCGTCACTGTTCAAGTGAACCTGCTGGTACAGCAGTCAGGAGGAGTTCTAACACTTCAGCAGATCTGCCCACAGACATGTCCGGTTTCACAGTGCGATGACTATGCTGCGAGGGTGAGCAATGATTTGCAAGTTTTGCTTTGATACTTCCAACGCTGACAAGAGCAACACACAACACTCAGGCAACGATACGCTGGAGACACCTGCGTCAACCAGCTATGGTATGAATTTGTAAATCCACTCTCAGAGGAATGAAGCCCAGAGAGACAGGGTGTCCCTTTGACCTCCTGATGTGCTTGTCTCAGGTGAAACAAAGGAGAAGAGGCTGCATTAGCTGCTGATGGCTGCCTGCAGGGTGACTGCTCGCTGACACTGCAGACTGGTACAATGTGATACTACAACAACAAAGACACTCTAAGTCAGTCTGAACACTGCTGTCCCCCCCCCAGGGGTTCAGAGAACATCAACAATGCAGAGCGCCAAAGAGGGCTGTCACTACCAATACATGCTGGAGGTCTCTCAGATCAAGTTCGCTTTCACTCCCAAACGCAGCTAATGGATGGGAATCTGTGTAAGTGACATTAGTGCACAGAGACAAAATGCTATTTTGTGAATTAATATACAATCTAAAAGAACAGTGATTTGTTTCAGACATTTATCTGAAACTATTACGATAGTTGATTAATGTCTTAAGTCATTCGTTAAGTAAAAAATCGGTTCACCAAATGTTTACATTTGCTGTTCATTTTGTCTTAGCTTTTTGTGATGTTTTATGAGGTAATATAGACCAAACAATTATTTAAAAGTACACTGTGTAGAAATGGCATCTAGGTGTGTAGTTGCGGACCACAGGGTCATTTACCAAAAAAAGGTTTTCACCCAACCTGAAGCAACGTTTAATCTTAGCATTTAATTAGTTTGTGTGAGATGATCCACACCCTCCATGGAGGTGTTTTGAACTGCACTTCTAATAAAAACCTACTTATTGTAGCTGCAGAGACAGACTGGTGTTTCTGAGAGAATATCAGAGTGATGAAACACAAACTGAGAAGTCAACTGAGGTTGGTTAAGGACTCTGAGTTAAGTCATCCCTTCCACTGAAGAGAAAATAATTGTTTACATTTGTATTTTCTCTTTTATCGGTTGTACTTTTTACTGGATCTTTGGCCAAATACGGCAGTGTTATATACTGTTAAAAAAAACTTGGGTCATTGTCAGATGTGGGTGTTTTGTTTTATCACAGCCTGTATTTGTGTTACTTTTCAGCACTAATACGTTGTGTTAGTATGTGTTTTAATTAATTTATGCAGTGAAATGTTGCGTGTAGTAGTATTTTACATAGACATAAATGTACCTCAGGACTCCACATTTAAAAGGCCGCAGTGAACACATCTAGTAAGAAAACTAATTTATTTTATAATGTATAAACATTGTATATCTTGTATCTGTTACATTTCATAAAAGCCTCTGAGTGAAATATTTAAATCTACTCTAACATTTTTTATTATGTGAGGCAGAAACACAATGATAAAATAAATTTGAATCTGAAAACTTAAGGTTCTTAGTACAACTTTACACAACCACACCATTTAAAAAGTCATATGAATCTTTCTTGTGTGGTGCTGACAGATGTGATATTTATGTACTTATAAAAATGACAAATGTGCTCAGCCTAAAGAAAGTGAAAGTCAAACGGGGAAGACTGATGGATTTTTCAGTGACTTCAGTCACGGTGGGAATCGACTTATCGCTGCAGTGCGTCAGACGTGCCTTCATTAAACACATCTCTTACAAGTCCGCACACCACCATGTCAGCCTTTTTTTTGTCTGTGTCCTCTAGGCTAGAATCCATGCAGAAGCAAGAAAACAAATATATACCTTTTGTTAAAGGAAAATTCAGAGTAGAGCTCTTTAAAAACTCAACAATCAACAATACTAGTTCCAGGCAAAAAAAGAGTTTTTAGGTTTGTGTGTCTATACAGCAGAACAGTGCATATTACTTTAAATAACACAGTCACTGCTGGATAAAGTAACTAACACAAAGAAAACTGATAAACAACGATAACCATACCA